TTCACCAAATTTATAAATACTATACATTATAAACATGTTTTCTCTTATACAAACTGCCTCATATTGAATATTGGTTTCATAATTAACATTGCTCTACATTTACTCATAGTCTTTATCATTATTTTTTCATACCTTTCACTGAACTTTCATACTATGACATAAGTTTTTTATATAAATATTAAAAATTATAAATTATTATTAATTTAAAGTTGCATTTTAATATTTTTCAAATCTAAATCAAGCATTAGGTACTAATATATGGAAACATTTATAACTTTAATTATGTAATATAATTTAAATATACATGAATATTTTACCTCAGGTAAAATTGAACATGACCTTTTGTGCCCAACAAATGATAGAATCTGATCAAGCTGAGCCGACTTAGCATTTTTACAACTGTCTGAAGTAATACCTCGAGGTCTTAGAGAGAGAAATATATCACCATTTTCTTTATTGAATAAGTCTAAAATTACAATTTCATAACAATTTTTCACTAAAAAATTAGATATTTAACAATATACATACTTTCGTTGTCTAATCCTACAAAATCCTTTTCTTTGTAAAACACAAGAGTCAAATTATTAGTCAGGTATTTTTTTAAGTTTGATTTTATATTTGATAATCTATATGATTGAAACCAATTTGTAGCCATATAATAGAGCGTCAGCAGCATTTTATCTTTAGGATACCATCAACAGAACTCGTAAATTTAAATTGGTAACATTAGTGTTTACCAACAATAACTATTCAAAATATAAAATAATTGTAAATTACAACATAACTTGTAATTTGATGAATACCATTATGATAATTATGTTCTATGTTTACAATAAAGAATTAGATTTGTAGAAGGTCATCCGTACACTTACTTTCATCTAGACGATAATTAAAAATTACGATTGTGATAAATAAGTATAATTTATTAAATTAAACTCAAAAAATTACATTTCATATTAGATTCAATACAATTGCAAAGCCAGAATGACATTCAACTGACTTTTAACCGAAAACTGACATAATCACTAACCAGATTAGGAATTATAGGGATGTAATATACGATAGTCGTAGATCGTTATTGATATGAGAAAAATTACATATTTATTATTTAACTTCTATAGTCCTGTTTTTTAACATTAATTATTTATATAATATATTATCAATTGTAAGTACTAAAAAATAATCTGTGATAATATAATCTACTACTTTTGATAAGTATGTAGAAAATACCTAGATAGCAGCACAGATGCTGTATTTTATTAATTATTATAATTTATTTTTGTCTTTTTGATATTTTATTTTACATATATAATTTAATTAATGCGAATTAATCCACTTTGGTCCTTGATTTAACTTTTGAGTAAAAACTAGATATTCGCTAGAAATGGTTTGTAGTGTTTGTACCTAAATTTTTTCTTGATAAATTACTATTTAGTATAATAAGTTAGAAAGTACCTTAGATCATGGCTTAGATATCTTATTTTGGTAATTTACGTGGTGATAACTGATAAGTCAATTTTGGAATTTTAAATTTTTTATTGATTTATAACATAATAACATATTTTATTTTTATAAATTGTATTTGATAGGTGTTGTTATATACATAGAGTATACGTTATAGTTTTATATTACATCGTAAATTATTATAATAATTTTAACTTCTTAATTATTCATTTAGTCTTGTTCAACATTCGTATATTTTAAGAATATATGATACATATGTAAATTATTTTGGTTAATATAAATATTTAATAATCAATCAATATGATTAGATTTAAGTAATAAGTAATAATTAATAACTAATAATTTAGTTCATTTATAAAAGTATTTATTTAGTATTTTTAATGAATTGAATTGTGCTCTCTGTTCAATGGTATTGTTGAAATTGTAGTAAACACTAAAGATTATTTTTATTGGTATGTTTATTTAGTTTTGTATGTTCTTTTATTTATATCAGTAGGTACTTATTGGCTGTTTTTTTGCATACAATAAATCAATAATACACAGTATATACTTATAATTGTACTATCAGTACAATACATATACTTGATTAATGTTTTTTTAAAAATTTTTTTCCAAGAATGAGTGGAATTTTAATTAGGTAATGATAAGGAGTAAGGACATATTTTGAATAATGTATTGAACTACAAATTACAATAACCAGATTACTTACTATTTAATACTTGAATTCCTTGAACAAAATATTGTAGTTTTTGAATGTAATGGCGCTCATATTGTCCATGAATTAGAGAATAATTATACCGAAATCCGATTGATAGCCTATATAAGTACCTACCTTTGAACTAAGGGCAATGAGGCCATAAATCATAAGCGTGCACAGACTTCTGAATTAGGTATAGCTAAATTCAATCTGATCACCATCTCCCCTGTCACGGTCACACAAGAAAAAAAAGTATAACATTTTTTAATACAAACTTTGAAGTGACTCTTTTGTCGAAGACTGAAAAATGTAAACAATCATTTTTCATTGTTTCACACATACAATTCATCAATATTGATTTACAATTTTAACCAATTATATAATCTAATAAAACAATTTAAAAACGTTCAAAACATAATATATATCTAATATTAACAATTGTCAATAACATTAATATTATTTATTATTATAAACTATTCATTATGTAACTTGTATGTATACATTACATATTTACATACAATTATGCTGTTAAACAAAAAAAATGTAATTATTATAGTTTTTATATTTATCTTTAATCGTGTAAATATCTATGATTATTATTATTGATTTTGATTGATTTTGTTATCAATTATCTACGGCTTTAACGTTTTATTACTTTCTTAGGTACCAAGTACCCACCTGTATAAAAAAAAGGCTAAGGTGGGGCTAAAGCCTAATAAGCCCTAACCGTGCACACGCCTATGCCATAAATTATGATATTAATGAATGAGTTGAATGACTAAATATTTGAAACGTTTTATCCTATTTTTATAAACATTGTAGGTTTATGATCTAACTAATAACTATTAACCGCGTTCGGTGTATATTTTTTAAAAATAGGGATATTTAGAAGACAGATAAATTATTACAAATGGTCAAGCTGGTTTTGTTAGGTTATGTTTTTATAATCAAATTTATTTGCATTATCAGTGTTAGTTTGCAAAATTTCAGTCTTATTATAAATTATAAAAAAGTTTGTTAAATATTCTATCATTAGTTTACACTTTATCTTTTTATTCATTTTATAATATAAGTATTTAGAGAGTGTTTTAGTTTGTTTAAATTAAATTAATTATAAAACATTCAAAATGAGTTCAATTGGAACTGGTGTAAGTATGTTTTGATTTTTTCAATAGCATTGTTCATTTTGTATTTCGGAAAATTTACCGTCATTTATTAAGTTTAAATCAAAATTCGTAATTAACAATCATTTAAATTATTTGACCACATTTTTGGATTTTGTTAAATATACATTTAAAGTATTTTTTGTACAGTATGATTTATCAGCATCTCAATTTTCACCCGATGGTAGAGTATTTCAAGTTGAATATGCCTTTAAAGCAGTTGAAAATAGCGGGTAAATGGCATTTAGCTATTTAATTGTTATGTTATTTTAATTTAATCCATGATTTGTATTTGTTAGAACTGCCATAGCTTTACGCGGTTCTGATGGTGTTGTCTTTGCCGTGGAAAAATTGGTCACGTCAAAACTTCATGAAGATTGTACAGGAAAAAGATTGTTCAGCGTAGAAGATCATATTGGAATGGTAAGTCCTAAAATATATACATATTGTTGTCCAATCAACTAATAAAATACTTAACTATTTAGGCTGTTGGAGGATTAACTGCTGATGCTAGTGCTATATTAGATGTTGCACGTGAGGAAGCAAGATCATATCGTCAGTCATACAATATGCCCATTTCATTGAAATATTTAAATGAACGAGTATCCATGTACATACACGCTCATACATTGTACAGTGCTATTAGGCCTTTTGGATGTGCTGTTATTATTGGCTCTTATGATCCTAAGGATGGTCCTCAAATGTATATGATTGATCCAGCTGGAGTATCATTTGTATGTTTTTCTTTATGAATTTAATACCTATATATTGGTTGTATACAAATTTATCAGAATTTCATATAAAACTTTTAGAATCGTTCTAACAATATATCATACTAAAAACTAAAAATTAAATTTTTCACATTTCTTAATTTTTTGTAAATTTAGGGTTATTTTGGATGTGCTATTGGTAAAGCTAAGCAAACAGCAAAAACTGAAATAGAAAAATTGAATTTGAAAACAATGACATGTAAAGAATTGATTAAAGAAGCTGCTAAGATGTATAAAAATATTTATTATTTTCTGCTGCTATGGGTTTGAACATTTTTTAATTTTTTTTTTTTTTAGAATTTACATGGTACACGATGAGTTGAAAGATAAGCAATTTGAACTTGAACTTAGCTGGGTTGGTAGCCATACTAATGGAAAACATGAAGAAGTTTCAAAAGATGTATTTGATGATGCTTTGAAATACGCTAAGGCGTCTCTAGATGATGATTCTGGTTCAGATGGAGAGTAAACTATTGTTAATAATTTAAGGAAAATTGATGGTTCATCAAATTACGGTATATAAGTATAAAAATATTTTTTTTATTTAATAAAAAACAATAACATTTTTGAATTTGATTTATTTTTTTACCTTTTGAATTTTAATAGATATAATAATTAGTGAAAAATTTTAACTTTAAATTATTATTTTCTTAATTACCTACTCTGATATCTGATGTAAAAAATATATTGTCAAGTGTTTTACAAATATTTATTTATAACAATACAATAAAGAAAATTAAAATTCCATTTTTGGTGTATTTACAACTTGCAAATATATCACAAGAATTAATATAAAATTATAAAATTTGGTTTACTTAAAATAAACTATTATAATAATTTTTATAATTATAACATTAATAAAAAACTTAAAGTAATAGTTATATGTTAATTTTACAGTAACACAAAAATAAAAGTAATAATATAAATTATATGTTAAATTACCAATTTTCATATTTTGATATATCATATATGTAACTGCATAACTGTTTGATACCATTTTTGTTAACCAGCTGATTTTCTTCTTTTTGAATCATTCCAAATTTAGTTTCAGTCCATTAAATATGCAAAACTATTTTTTGAACATTCAAAGAAGATTATTTTGCAAAGCATTTTTACTAAGATTTTTATTTTCTTAAATATGTTGGTTTAGAAGTGAAATACCAATAACCATTTTTTAATTTTGAGTTAATTTTACCATTCAATTTTACCTTAAGTTATTGAACTTGATATTAATAAAAAATGTTTAATTTAGTAACTTAGTTTTTTTTTTCTATCAGTAATGTATATCCTAATATTAAAATGGTAGATTGTGTTAATTTTTCATAAAACAGAATCCTTATATTAAATAGTAATTATTATAATATTATTAATGGTTTATTTTTTATAAACTTATGTCAATATGTATTAAGAAACTGTAAAATTTGCTGGTATTAATAACTTATCAATAGGGCTCAGAAGTTGTTGGGATTGCATGTTATTCTGTATGTTCTCAATTTATAACAGACCTAGTTAGAAATCTGATCTCTACAATGGAGAGTTAAGAAATTGAAAATTCACATTTTGCATATTTTTTCAATTTTAGCTAAAAAAAAGTGCATATTTCATTGATTTTATATGCTATACGCATATTGTGCATATTTCATATTTTTCTAAAAAAATTTTTCTCAACCTGTATATTTCAATTAATATTGAATATAAAACCCAAAAATTTAAATGAAAGTATTTATCATAATTTCAAAAATACTGAAAAAATATTTTTAATTATATTTTTAGCTCAATAAGATGTCAAAATACCTACCAGTTATAAACAGTTTGTGTATATTAATATTTTATTAACAACATCTTATGTATTTTTTTTTTTTGGAATTCAGAATAATGTTTTAATATATTTAACATCATTTTAAGGCATATTTTGTAATTTATTTTTGTGCATATTTTGCCTTTTTTAGCTCCTAAAACTTCTAAGCCCTGCTTATCAAATTAATCTAAATATTTTTAAATTTTCATTGTACATAATTAATAATTATTTAGGTACTATAGGATAGGTATACATAACGGTGAAAAGTTTCAAGTAATTTGTTGGTTATTGGTTATCTAGTATTTTATATTTTTGAGTTTTCAACATAAGTAAAATTATAATTTTCCTTTTAATAATTATATCAAAATTTGTAATTGATATGAACAAAATATAAAAATATTGTACATGCGAATCTCAGAAATTTGAAGGTTGTTTTTGTAATAAAAACTTATGATGGAGAAATGTTATACTTTTTTTTTAAGAATTTTAAAAAGTTTTTTTTCAATGTTTTATATTTTAACCACAAACAATATTAAAAATTGTTGTAATTATTATAATAATTATTTAAAAATTTGGACTTTTAATAATAATGTAAAAAATCCTGCTTATTTATTTTCCATATTTTTAAACTTTTATAAGAAAAGTTTATGTGGGATATTGTATCATATTTTCAAGATTGTTAAATAAACTTTTAATCATATCAAAAACAATATTTGAAAACATTAACTACCTATTAAAAATTTTAAATTAACAAAAAAATAGTGGAAAGTTTTGAGTACTACGATTAGTATTTTTTTAATATCACAAAATAACAAAAATGGTAAATCTAGTATCATCAAATACAAAAAAAAAAAGAAAGTAAAAATGTTTAAAATTTTAATACAAGGTTCTTCATAAGTTGTTCTTACAGAATCCTAAAAATTACATAATATGTACATCGTATAGTTGTTTTTATAAATATCAAATTTAAATCTTGACAACATTTGATGTGTATTTAAAATAAAATAAACGATTTAAAAAAATATTATCCAAACAGTTCATCAGGGGCTTAAAACCTCTTGTATTACGTATATTATTATTTTTTCATGTACAAGTTTTCAAAATATTTTGATTAATTTTAATTTTTAAGTTATTTATAGTTTATGATATAAACTAAAGGGTTCCGCGAAAGTGTTTTTATCAAAATATGGATAGTGGGAAAAACAGTTATAAAATATTATATTTTAATATCACAGGGGTTCCACATAAAAAAAATATTTTTTTTTTTTTTTTTTTTTTTATTATAGCTTCAAGTTTACAACTAATATAGCTCAACAATTATATAAGCAAGGTACAAATAAAAAATAAAACATTACAATATTACTACAATTTAAACATAGATTTTATATAATAAAGCCAGCATCCAAAATAAACTTGATAATACATTTAATCGTAAAGATGCAATTAGTATTGAGGATAGAATGGAGATTAAAAGGACAATTGAAAGAATTTAGAGAATTAATTAAGTCTAGACGTTCGGTTATCAGAGCAGGACAATCGAATAATATATGAGATAAATCGCAAATATGTTCATCGAGATGCAGTGTACAAAAAGGGGAGTCGTTTAAGCCGAGTTTGAACGAATGATTGGGTAATAGAGAATGTCCAATACGTAATCTGTTAAATTGTATAATATGTGATCTGTGTAGGTCTAACTTGCTGAATCAGATATTGTTAAGAATATTAGGAGTAATGTCTCTATACCTAGACGCAAAGTTACCAGGTAAATTATTCCAGTATGAAGACCATAGATTGGTTGTGTAACGTTTAATAAAAGGAGTAAAGTCAGAGTGCGGAAGTAGAGTAACAGATGGGGGGATAATGTTAGATGTGGATTTAGCAAGATTGTCGACAAACTCATTGCCATGAATCCATGAATGCCGGTATGACCGGGAATCCATATGAAATGTATAGTATAGTTTAAAGAATTAAGATTGAAAATAAGTGATTTTATACGTAGAACAAGTGGGGATAATTTAGAGCGTAGAGGGTTTGAGTTTAGGGCTTGAAGACATGACATGGAGTCGGAAGCTATTAGATATTTGTTAGGAGCAAAGTTAAAAATGAGTGTTAAAGCATCAAAGATGGCGTAGCACTCGGCTGTAAAGGAGGAAGACGAAGAGGGGAGATTATTTGAAAAAGAAACACGTAACTCTGGAATATAAAATGCATAACCAGCAGAAAAAGGAGAGACAGAACCATCAGTATAGACAACAATAAAATTGGGGAAGTTAACAAAAAGATGATTCGAAAAAGCTGCATTTACCATACAGTGTGACATTTTTTTAAAGTCATTGGAGGACAAATCGGAAAATAGATTACACAAATGAACGGGAGGAAAATAAAGAAGAGAATCGTAGGATTGTTCATAAATTGGGGGTTTGTCAGATCTCATGACGTAATGGTGGAAAACAGATAATATATTAGCAATATCAGACAAAACAGGCATAGTCTTAGGAACGTAGCGCCAATTGAGATATAGTGAGTAAAAAGTATCAAATATGTAATGATCGGTATGGGATAATGATTTCAAAAGAAATTTTCCCGCAAGCCACTTGCACCTGACATTGAATGGAGGGCATAAAGAAAAAAAAAATATTATTGTTTAGTGTTTCATTTACGACTATAAATAAACATGTTGGTCATCGGAAAGGGGGGATAGATGGTCCAATGGCATTGTATCCATTATGTACATCACTATAAATGATTCACTTATTAAAGTTATATTTAATTTTTCCAGTATGAAAATAAAAAATTTAGGCTGCACTTTTAAGTGGAGTAACATATAAAAATATATAGGTTAAATACCTATTGTAGCTTCAATGTGGTTAAACCTATAGAGACCAAAGAGGCAAAAGCTATACTTAGTATTCAGGTTATATAAATTATGTGGGGGTCATGTACAATACAAAACTAGTAAAAGCAATTCCCATTAATTTTTGCGGTTCAATTAAAAAAAAGGTCTAGTATCTATATTATAGTCGTTATTATCACAAACGACTAGGTACCAACGATTAGGACAGAAACAAAATGCATGATTTGTCAAAGCCCACAGTTACTATACACTAAATATTTCAAAATCTTTTTATATTTTTCGAAATTTTAATTGATACAATTATAAGTCAAAAATAATAATATTTTTCTAATAAAAATACATATTTTTATCTTTTTTTATTTATTTTAATATTTGCATACTTTTATTCCTTATGCTAATGTTTTTTTGAGTACTTCAATATATAAAATAAGTCATAACTTAAAAGTATTTAAAGTTTTAATGAGCGGAATGGAGTGGAATAGTATAAGGGTACCACAAAATGTTAATCCACAATTATATGAATTAGTCTAAACTTTAAATATTTATAATTAATAAACTACTTGTCTAAAATTTGTTTTTTATTGATCGAAATAGATACATTTCGAATAATTCTCTGCTTTGGAATATAAATTAAAGAAGAATAAATTAAAAATGCATATTGACATTAAAACGATTTAAAAAATTATAAAAAGAATAGTGTTTTTTCAAAAATGTTGTTTTATAAGTAACGACTTAAAAAAATATAAAAGAAATAATAACTTTAAAAACATTATTTTCTGAAATATCGAGTCATATAATTATTACATCGTTTCGTATATACTGCATAATACTTACTTATATAGGAAGCCCTCAACGGTTTTTAGCGATTTTATTAATAAGCCATAAACAAATAGTTTAAATGATAGTGACAGTATAGTCCCTTTGTCCATTGTGTTGGTGCGCGGTCCATCTGGTCATAATATGAGATATGAATACCTATTACCTAGTATAAAAATAAAATTAATATTTTGATGTTGGACGACGATTGGTGACTGCAGACGACCGTCTGCCATACTGCAGTCGTGTATGGTCATAACAATTAACAATAAAAATATGATAAATTTACTTGGTCGTGATATTATAATAGTAACGTCCATCGGGAGTAGTACAAGTCTGGTACCTACGTTCTAATAATAATACAGAACGTTATATGGACGGTTTGAATATGTCGGCGTTTGCGATAGAAATACCCTAACTTCTGGCGAACAAATAACCGTACAACGGATCCAATATTAAATCGGTAAACAGCACATAGACAGCAGCAAGCACGTAGAACAGACATAATACGCATACGATCAGATAGACGTATTTGAACATTTTGATTGTGTTTCGTGGTCTAAAATAAGAAGGTATATAGAATACACATGTAATATATTATGTAGGTATATGATATGTAATTATTGTCCATTGATAAAAAACAATATTTACAAATAGGTACCTACCTGAATAATATAATGAACGTTGTCGTACACTGTATACGCGTGCGCAGGAGACGTGTGTTACAGTTCAAATGATGACATATCGCAGTATTAACGTTAAAATAATACGTTTATAACGATACTTTTATTATCATAGAATTATCGTGGTGGGATTGTACCGATTGTGAGAATGCCTAGAAGAGTGATCGAAGGATATTAACACGTGGTAATTTATTATACATATAGATCAGAATTTCATTATTACAGACGTTTTATCGTAAAATATAATTTGATGATTAAAAATAATTTTATGAATTTGAAATTTTACTAAATACAATGATCTAAAAAAATTAAAAAAAAAAAAAAAAACACTTTTATAGAGGGAAGTTACGATTAGGTACTTTTTGTGTGTGACATAACACGTCAACGTTGCGTCTGCCGTCAATATTTTTTTTCGATACATTGCAGTTGATACAAGAACCTAGAATAAATACTATTGAACAAATATTTTTTTGTACCTACCATTGGTAAAAATTTTAAAAGGTACAAACTATTGGGATTGGCGGTTCGTATAAGATAACAAGGGGATACCGGATACCAAGTAAAAGTTGTGGTTAAATAGTCAGCTCGTCAACACCTAAAACGTGTATTTATATAAAATAAAATAATTTTTCCCTACTTATTCAGTGTTAAGTAATTTGTCACAGTATTGTGTACACAATGAGAATTTTAGTAAAGTATAATTCTAATTTTGATCATAAAAATACAATTATGTTCTGTCGTTAAACAATCTAAAAACCGATATGATAAAAATAAAATAATAATAACAGATTAGATTATTTTTGTAAAAATGCTGAGTCACGAATACTCAGAAACTATATAAGAAAAAACTATTTTCCAAAGACACATCGACTTAAAAAGTAGTATCTAATGCAGAGTCACGAATATTCAAAAACTATATAAAAAAAAACTATTTTTCCAAAGACACATCGACTTGAAAAGTAGTACCTATTACACTTACTGACTACTGTGTGGATGAAAATTTTGCAAACTATATGCTTGTTGTAACTTTTAATATAGGTACATTATTCAATACACATGATGATAATGTAGTTAATATATATATCAATTATTATTGTTCTTTCAACTAATTATTACTATGTGCTCCGTTTAATAATTATCATTACACCTGTAGATATAATTATATAAAAGAACACTTATGTAAACGAATATATTCACGATGTGTGCATATGTACCTTAGGTTAGGTTTATGGTGCTCTTAAGTCAATAAATGCGTGAGAAATGCACTATATTAGTATGTAATATGTACACAATACCTACACACACCGCGAAGACTTCAAATACAAATTAAACTTGAGATAATATAGTTTCTACAAGTACCTATATTTAGTATAAGTGTAGACAAAACTCCTCACCAATATAATACATAGCGTCAGAGCCGTAGTAATGTTCACTAGCGCTCCTTGCCATTTAACATATTTCCGCTCTTATAAAAAAATTGTTTTTAACCCCCCTCCCAATTATAAGGTCTATTAACTGTAAGAAAATATCACAGTTCAAAGCATCAATTTTTTTCAGTAATCAATCCTTTACGGGCCAAATTATTTTTGAGCAAAAAAGTATAGCATCAATTTTATTCATAATATGATACTCCAATTTTCTTTTTATTTCGCAAAAGACTTTTCAAATTCATAGTTTATTGTTATTTCCATATGTATTCTTTTTTCCAGTTCTTTCCAGGATGTAGAATTATTTAATTGACTTTTAGATTGTTCGTGATCCGAAATATAATATATACTCAAATGCTACTAGTCATTAAAACCATTATTTAAAAAAGATACATTTTATTGTCTTTAGAAAATAATAAACATAAAAAAACAAAATACAGGATTTTTTATTTCATTGTGTATGAGCCATTTCTCTTGGTTTGACAAATTTTTTTAAAGTACTGACCTTTTTCATTACTTGGTACATTTTTTAGTTCATAATATTGTGACCCCTTATCTACCTATAGTGTTCTAATAGATGAAGTAATTGATGACTAAATTCCTGTCTTTAAAATTAAAATTACTGTCAATATCTATTTGGTTATTTTCAACAATTATACCTACTAAATTGTCTATTTTTAAAATGATTTAATGGTTTAAAAACACACTAAATAGTTCTAGTTCAGGTAGTACAACTACAACATTATTATAGTATTAATGGCTTCGGGAATTAACCATTTAGATAATATCTTTTGCTAATTTTTTATTTGCTTTTATTTTTAAAGTCTTTGTTTGGCAAACCACGATCCTGATGGTTTTTTCGTAAACATTATGTTTTCCTAATTAATACAAAATAAAAATACAATTTTAGAAGCAATCGACAATGAATAAACATTACTTTGAAAATTAAAAAATAATATTTTTAGATCCAACACGTAATGTATTGAAATGAAAACTTTTTATTTTCAAAGACATGTTATTATGCTATTTTTTTAAATACAAATAATTATGTATGTCCTACATTTTACAATAATATTCAATCAAAAATAAATAAAATATATTGAAAATAATAAATCACTCGAAAAAAAAAACGAACAAATTTTTTGTATTTATAAATAAATACTTTTTTTTTATAATTTAACTCTACTTTAGATGGTAAGTAACTATATTTTTTTTTTATTGACAGATATAATAAATAATAATAAAAAAAGAAATGTTTAAAATTAAATTTGAGAAATAAATACGGCTACGGCTTTGCATAACGTTGCAATACATATTATGATATGTATATAATATACATGTAATAATTACTAATTAATAATTAAAATACATTGCTCACTTGCACTGAATTCGGTAAAGCATCATATCTGATACACTTTGTGATAGCACTAGAGCTGCGATTATAATATGGACTTGGTTACTAAAACATAGCTTTAGCTCTCTCAATAGTCGTACAGATTTGGAAGCTTGTTGGAAATGTTAACATACTAAAAACGCAGTTTGTAATATCATAATTACTTAGAATTCTTATTTTTTGGGTCTATAAAGCTCCCCTTCTCATATTTGTTCCATGTTTGGCGCAACATACGTTCAATAGTCCGTGCATACGACCACGTGCGACGTGCGTGCTATATAAGTATATAACGCAAGTGTATGCGATGGTATAGATACAAACAGCTGTACACACATATTATGTTATTAAATAAATATGAGAGTATGGTGGCTAGGAGACAATGGGAGAATATAGTGTGAAGACTATGCTCGAGATTCGACCTCTTATTATACTAGCATTTGGCCTGGTGATTGCAGCTGAACGTTTGCTCTCTAATATTAACAACATTTTGGTTTTAGTTAGTAAAACTTTTGATAAGTTCCAAAATTGGTTTTAGATAGTTCTATAAAAAAAAAAAAAATATTTAATTTAAAGATTCAGAATCATTGTTTAGTGCTTAGGTATTCCGATTTTTGTCCGTATGACATTGATCTAGTGTTAAATAAATTGTCCTAAAATAAAATGATAATTTCTCGGATACCAATGTCTTAATCATAACATTTGAGAAAAATAAATTCATACGGCCAATTGCATATCGTCGACGGAAAATGATGGTGAATGTCAATATACAAATAATACCTACAATATTGTAATAACTAAAGACCATATGTTTGCAATTAATAATCATTAGGGCACCGGTGTGGCGATGACGTCTCACTCCACTACCACACTATAAACACAAATGTATACATTTTTTTTTTTTTTTTTTTATTTAGTACTTATATTTGAAACATTACAGCATAACAATTACAAAATTTGTATACATAATATGTTTATTTTTTTTACATACCTGGTAGAGATAGGTACTTATATTTTTTGGGCAACTCCTGAGTGCATCCCAAAATGTCCCTTAATTAATGTCCCGAATGCGTTCGGAATAAGATCTTGCTCGAGAGCGTCCCAAGAGAAAAAGGTCACTACTCTGACGTAGCCCAAGTGCGTCTCAGTTCATTTAGGGTTACCCAGGGTGCATCATGAGGAGGTGAATTGGTTTACATGCTAAAAATATTTGGTTATTTGATTATAATATTATAATATTTATTTTAAAAGTTTATTATTATATAAGTTTATTTAATTTTTTAGGGTTACTTCCATTTTTAAAATGTTGGGTTAATATTTAAACTATTTTTTTGGTTAACTTTTTAACGCCACCATTTTCACATAATCATATCTAGAGATTTGTTTAGTTTTGTATTTTCGTATATTTTCTTCAACGAATTTAATATTTTTATCATTAACTGATCTCAGTTTTTTAGGTATTGATAGATGTTTGTATTAAAACTTATGTGTCTATTTGCATTTTTTAAATATTTCTAAGAAGGAATATATGATGTCCGGATGAGGTGTGTAAAAACATGAATTAAATTTAAAATGGAAGCTTTCACACGCATTTGTTGTTTGTTCACTGCTACTGTTCATTTTTACCCATGTTTGAGGAGGGAAGTCTGAATGTGGGATCAATATAATTGTCTGCGAGATAATCCATAAACTGATTTAGTTTTTTATCATCAGGCTTGGTAGACATAAAATTCTCAGTAAAACTTATTTAAATATTGTGTTCATTTAGCACGGGTAATCTAAATATATTCTTTAAAAACTGTTCTATTTCTGATACATCATAAATTCATAACAATAATCAATACCTAAATCAAAATTCTGTACTTTACGCCACCATGCTTGTCTCAGATGAAACCGAAAACTTTTTGTAATGATATCTGGTCAAACATTTTTTGCACCCATATGAATAGATTTTTCAAAATCTGCGTATAAAATTTCGAGGTTAAAACATAAATTTAATTTTGTATATTCATTTTTTAATGCCAAAAATACGAAGAATACGATTCTGTTTGTTTATTATTCAATAAAAAAAAAAATACTAATGGTATATAATTATTAATTACCATTATTTAAACCTTGAATGGTGAAAATTTGTAAAAAAAATTTTGGACAGTTCTTAAATGTATCATCTACATATATTGTTTTTACGGCACATAAAGTGGTTAAATTCTTTTTACATGAGAACATAACAAAGTTTTTATTGCTGTCATTCACCGAAATAAATGTTTCATTATCAAATGTTTTAATTTCTAATGAATTTAGTGAATTGTGTGCGTCTTGAATATCAGTTGATTTTTTGGGTAGTATTAAACGGCGAGCAGCATAAATCCCTTTTCGAATACAAGATATGTCAGTCATCGTTAAGAAATCTGTTTTTTTTATTTTTTAGTTCCAAATGAATTAATTTGAGTGGACGTTCACAAAGTTCTTCTTGAGCTTCTCGTTTTACAGAGTTCCTTGTTACTTGTCTCATTATTTTTCCTTCAGATTCTATTTCATGACTAGGATCTAAATTACTATCAATAATTGTCTTCTCACTCATATCTGTTTTCATATAAGTAGCACACATTTTGTTTCCATAGCACCATCGTTTTACATCACCATTCAACATTTTATGAAATATCATTTTATATCCATCAATAATTTTAAGTTCCTTACCGTGTTAGCTGATCATACTTGACAGAAACGAAATCGACATCTTTCAAGTGTATTGTACATAATTAAATATATTTAAATAAAACTGTTAATTGCTTACACGTCAGTGTTACTACACGTCATACTGCACGTGGTAGTCAATTGTCAAAGACTAGTTACGAATAGTAGGTTTCTACGTATGAATTAAAGTGTAAACGCAAACTAACACAGTGTAATATTTTTATAAGTTATCAATATTGTTAAATAATAATATTTTTAGCAATAATATAGCAGACGCACACGGGATATACCAAAGTTATTTGCGATAAATCGCGAATGCAGTTGGGCTATTAAAAAGGTACGATATGATTAACGGAACGCCCATATTTTTTTAAATATTTTATACACTAAAATATTAATAGGTATGTAATTTATTTTGTTTAGAGAAAAAATGATTTTCGAACCAACTGTTGTGTATTTTAAGTTGTTGGCTCAGCTTAGCTGTAAAATTATTTAAAACCGGTGTCTTTCAATTTGTGTCTGGTGCACTTAATGGTTTTAGTAGATTTTGCGGAAAGAGTGAGCGGAATGAGGATGAAAATGAAATATTTATAACGTGATTAAAATAATAAATTACAAATATCTAACAGCATTTAGTGACTCATATGATTCGATTGTCGAAGAACCACGAAACATAAAAATATTGAAGATCCGATATTATACATTATACATGGTATGTAAAATGTATACATATATATATAAATAGAATTTGCTAATACATTTATTTTTTTCTTCAATAATTTAGTTCTTAAAATACTGATTTTTGAAATTACGGTATACTTGAAGATAATATTTTAAAATTTTTGAGATTTATTGTAACTTAAAGAACATAGTATTTAAGTAGGTACATTTAAAAATTTCAAAAATATGAATTTGAATAATCATAACACTCCTTAAATACTATAAAAATTGTAAGAATTTGAAAACAGGGAGGAGAATGAGCATACTTGGTAAATTGTCCTGTATATTTTATACAATATCTATTAATTTTTCAACAAGACAATATTGACTAAAACTAGATTTATTTCTAGTTACTTAATAAAAAAAAAATTGGTAATATAAGTGTTTTATTAATTTTTATAATAAAAATTTAAATATAAACAATGATTTATTTTTAAAATAAAAATATTAAATTATATTATAGAAATTTGACTAAAATATTATAATAATATGATGTCTTTATTTCCTTAAATTTATTTATGCTAATATACATTCGTATAAATATTTTCTAATTTAACATATTTTGATAATAATCATTAATCAACATTATTGCTAAGGTTAACAGTACATATTATGTTTACAGTGTTGGTACACTATATTAGAACTTGAATAAATATATATGTATATATTAACTATAAATAATAGATAATATTATATACTATATAGTAATACAACATACAATTTTTTTTTAAATTTTAAAATCGTGTAATTAATACATATTTAATATCACAGAAATTTCAGAAATATAAAAACGAGTACCCGAAATAGGGTGATAAAATGGAATTTGATAAAATATTATTTACCATTACATTATACTGTACCTATATACATTAAAAATAATCCAGTATTGTATAATGTGTGTGTATATATATATGAATACATACATATATAGTTAGTGGAGTTAGTTCACATGAATGATGTAGACTTAATGATTATAGAAACTTGTTTCTTTATCTTAAAGTTTATAAAATACTATTGCTTAGTGTTAAACGATTAAAAAAATAAATCAATACCTTATGAGACACATGGAATCACTTTTAAAAATAAAAACTAATGTACAAATCATAAGGCACGACTGCAATATGTATTTCCTCGCTGTGTATTCTTGTTGGAATTATAAACCATTTAGAATTTTTTAGACCTCTCCAACGAATTCAGCTTGTTTTACTGTGTCGGGTAATTTTTGATCTTTTGTTTCAGGGAACAAGAAAGCTAACGCCCCTGCCATAAACGATATGATTCCGAACAACATAATCGGCACGTATGTTCCAAAATAGGCACTCTGCGAAACAATATTTAAATAATTATTATTTTCTGATGTTACAATGTTAATAATATCATATATGTATGTTTTTTTTTTCATTAAACTTGACTATTGAAAAAAAATTGTTAAATACATACCAACAGTGTCATCTGTGGAGCGAACATAGAACCCATTCGACCAAACATAGAAGCTATGCCAAATAGTGACATACGTAGTTCGGTGGGAAACATCTCTGCGGTGAATACGTACATGGTGTTAAATGACATGGTGATGGCGTACTTGCTGCTCAAGAACAATATCAGTTTCACCCACACATAATCTATAAATTTATGATACATGTATTTCATAGCAAAGGCCATACAAACATAAATCAGATAAGCGTATTTTTATAAATCTGAGTATGTGTAGGTACGATGAAACAACTAAGTTTATTGGAACCTTATTAACGTAGTTACACGATATTTTAAGTTCTATTATTGAAATAAACA